ACCTTCCCAGCAGAGAAAACAGAAGTTTGTAAACATACCAGTACTTGAACCCACATACACAAAACTATACCTGAATTCATCAAAACTCCTACTTCAGGGACCCAGGAGATGGCTCAGTAGAATAAGTGCTTGCCTGGCAAGCTCAAGGGACTGAGTTCAATCCCTGGTTCTGGGGGGAAAAAAAAACCAAAAAACTCCTACTTCCAAAAATGATTTCCATTCTAGCTGAACTTGCAAAAAAATGTACTTAATTCCATAAGTTATCTCAAACAGCCAGCACCAAAGATAAAATGTAGAATATGGTTCGGTATTGAAATATACAAAAATAAAAAAATCAGAAGAACTAAATTCTTGTTCAAGCTGATACTACTTAGCTATACAAAGTTACAAAAAGGTTGCAATTTGTATGTGTCTCTGATACTCTGTCAGTAAAATTAAGACAATAAGGTTTTGGACTGTAGCTGTTGAAATTAAGAAAAGGAAAAAAAAGATGTAAAATATTTTCAAACTATAATGTTGAATAAGGTATTTTTATCTTGTCAAAAAAAGTCATAAAAAGGTCACAGCAGTAAGATTATTCGATTCTAATTCACATTAATAAACAGAAAGGGAAAGTGATATTCCCCCAGCAAGCAAACCATAACTCACCTGCAAAGTTGACAATGGATTCCAGTCCAGTGCTTCTACCACCCCACAGTGTCTTTCTACATAAGAACTGGCTTGAAATGTCATTGGGCATTCAGCTAAAGCACATTTTAATTAACTTTCAAAAATTTTGCAACACTGTTAGGTAATGTTAAATACCACAGGATACTGCTAAAATATTGGTTCAAAATCATAGGACAGTGGTTTCAAATTAACCAAGTCACTTTATATTACCATTCATTTCATTTAGCATTACATTAAATTTGACCTTCTTTTAAATCTGTGAAGTTGATGTTCACAATTAAAAACTGAAAATGGAAAAAAGCCAATTAAAAAGTGCTTCTCATTAAAAGGTCTATGTTTTTCTGGCCTTTCTGAAAACAATGAAAATAGTCTTTGATTCTTGTTTCAAATTCAGTTCACTAAAATTGAACAAATAGCATTGAAGTCTACTGTGTACTAGCTTGAAATGAATAAATTTAAAATAAAAAAATTCTCAGAAAAAATTTATATTTAAGAAATAGTTAAAATATTTTATTAAGTCTAATGTTACAGTTTAAATAATTTTAGTAACCACAAAACTTGGTCAATATTATTTAATTCAATAACCTTTTACTTTCAACTTGTTTCAGTACTTTTTACTTAAATTATATAACATCACATTCAGTAAATAATGTAGGATATCATCTTCAGAAAAATGTATTTTCCAGAAGTTTACAATGACAAGTTTAAAGAACACAACTCAGGTCTGCCTTATGGTTGACTACTTGGCCTCCAACAACTTTTAAACAATGGCATTTATATTCTCTTTGGTTTCAATTGTTAAGATTAATAGGGGAAAATATGACCATATCACATAGAGTCAAACCTTACTTTATAACACATAATGTGCATTTGAATATAATTTACAACATAAGAAAAACTGTATATGAGAACTTTCAAATAAGAACTGGCTTTTTTCTCCATTATTTTTATAGGCTAATCAACAAAATCTTGTGTTAGAATCAAACAAATGTGCACATGTAAGAACACGTATGCACACACACACGCACATACACACCCATACGCACACACACAGAGTAATGTAATACATCATAACTACAAATTTCTCTAGAATCACCAGAGAACCCTGGAATAAACAGCAAATCTGAAACACTCAAGTTCCTCACATAGCACTAATGAACTCATGAAGGCACCATGAGGGGGAAAAAAAACATCCATCCACAACAGGGACTTGAAGGAGGCAACAGTCTCAATTATCAGCATTACCTGAGGGAACCATTACAAAATGTATAGCATAGTCACCGATGACAGCATGCTTTGTTACTCAGTTGTTTTGCAAGTGTGTGCTGGAACACCACCAAGAAGACAGGAAAAATTCTTACCTACCAGTTGTATCTTATTCCCCTTCTAATATTTTTACTTCAACAGGTACAAGAACAGCAAGCTCTCCCAAAAGAGTAACTTTTTCAGCTACTGGTATGGTTATCTTCTAGACTGAAGAAGTACCTTTGTCTAGAAGTTAGCTACTCATTCAAAGATCAATTTAAATTTTGTATTGCAAAATGAACTTCATGTTTAAATGTTCTAACTAAAAGTATTCTGTGGTTCCATCATCAATAACTAAGCAACAGCATCTTATCAATTTATAATGTATTTAAAGTGAGTATATCAAGTGATCAAAATAAATTTTGATTTGAAAAATAACTTTAGGGCCTGAAGAGACAGCTCAGTAGAATAAGCACTTGCCTGGCAAGCGCAAGGTCCTGAGTTCAATCCCCGGTACCGCAAAAAAAACAAAAAAACTTTTAACAGTTTCATAGAAACTAAGTTCAATTTTATTTGAACTAATTCAATTAGCTTTTGTAAGCTTGGTGATCTATAATAATCACTATAATCATATGAAATTATAAAATATTCACAGATGATAACAATGCTAATAGTTTAGGTACTTTCAGAAATACTCATGAAGCTTTAGTTTGAATACTTCCCATGATTTTATGAGAACATAGCCAATTTTCACTGTCAGAAATTCCCATACAGTACATTAAAAGTGGAATCAGGAATTTTGTTTCTGATTAATTTTTCTACCCAGAAATAAGAGAACAATTCTATTCCTCACATATGATAGTCATTTGGGTATGTAAAGAAAACTCCCTCTCCTTAAACTCATCTTCTTCAAAATAAAGATTTTCTTCAAATACACACTACTCTCTATTTCCATATATACCTTTCATCTCTACAGCAAGCTACTTTCCTGCTGACACTTCAGTTAGTTCATAATGTGCCACTTACTACCAATTTAACATAGTAATACACAAACTTCAATCTGAATAGCACTGTGTACATGGCTTATTACATGTCTTGATCAGTAAGTTTTACAACTACATCAGTCTGTCTGCAACTATATCATACCACTTTCCACTGCCAGTCTGTAGACTGACATCACTACTCAATGAGGCATTCAATGATCTTGAATAAGTAAAAAAGTAACACTATAGTAATTTTCTCATCAATGTTATTTCAGTTAAATAATTTTCTACTGTTCTAAGTTTAAATACTTCTTTAATAGTTGGGGGGATCATTTTTTGAATTAAATGATGATAGAAGATGGTATTTTTCCAAAAATGTTTTTCATAAAAAAATAAAGCCTCTTACATTTTATAATAATCTCTAAAATATTAGTTTATTTCCTAAAATATTCAGGTAAAGCTTGTTATTATCTAAGTAGCCAAGCACTGAGAAAAATCTGAAGTATTTGCAACAAGCTGGGATGCATGTACTTAACATGCACAAGGTCCTAGGTTCAATCACCAGCACCAAAAAGGTATTAATAGTAATAATAACAATACAATTTACACAACCAATAACAGCCTACATTGATCACTACTTTTGATTCATTTATGGAAACAATGTGAACTCAACAGGCTTCAGCAAATAAAAGAATTAGGTACTTTAATTCCTATGAGTTCCTACTTTTTCTTACTTCCTACATAAATTTATCATCATAAATAGTATTTAAACCAGGCAATTATATTACAGTACATGAAACTAAGAGTGGGTCAGAATGGAAGAAACTACTTATAATTTAGATTAATTTTTGTCAACTTTGAACTACAAGCAAACTACACCTTGTAGGACAAGAGACTGTAAGTTACACTTACAGTCTGCAAATTAAAGCCAGTGCATAATTTTTATGTAAAAACATTTTATAAAAACATACATTAATTGATTATACAATGTCTATGCCTGCTTTTGAGCTACAATGGTGAAGAAGAGTTGGGACTAGAAACCATATGGCCTGTGAAGGCCAAAATATTTACTATTTGGTCCTTCGCAGAAAACATTTGCCAACCCCTGATCTAGGGGGAAGAGCATTTGCTACCAAAGCAAAATTCAAGATTTTCACCAATAACCAACAAGTAGATTAGGAAACCCACTATTCTTATTGGGATATGCAAATATAAACACTGGATTATCTCACTAGTTCTTTATTCTATTCTGTATAAAGACTTGTTGCTCACCTTCAACAGAGAACACACTTACCTACTCACTAAGCTAATCTTTATCATATGTTTTGCAAGGACTCACTAAAGGGACAGTGAAGAATCCATGAATATTCTGTTTGCATGATCTAAAGTAAAAAATAAAAAGTCACTGCAAATAACTCAGAAGAATATAATAAAGAAGCAACTTTATAGACTACATAAAAATTTCCTTTCCATTTTAGATTTCAAGTACAAAATTTTTAAAGGCACTTAAAACAGGAAAGCTAAGTTGAACAATTCATGTAATATCAACTCCATTAAATAAGGTGAACAAATAATTTCCCTTTATATTAAATAGCAAGATTTTTACTTTCACGCATATAGAGTAGAAATAAAACATCTCTAGTCTAATTTAATCATGTAGGTAATTAACATAAGCAATGCTACAATCTATTTTTTAAAAACTTATATTTCAAAATACTTTGAAACTAGAAAGTATTTAAGACACCACTTCCATGTTCAAATGAGAAAGCTAAATTTGATTTGAAAGTTCTAAGTTCAGGAAACCAACTAGTAGCAGAGCCAGAACTAAAATACAACACTCAAGTTTGAGTGTGATATTCTTTTTACCAAAAGATAGGTCCATATAGTATGAAAAGGTGGAGTGATACTGAAATATTCTAGTTTTAAGAGTACAGTACAACATATTCCTAGGACTACCGTCCAACCAACACAGAAAACCCTTGATTTTTAAGGTCAATTATGAGATTACAGGTCAATAAATGATCAATTTTTAAAAAGCAGGTTTGTTTGAGGTTTTTTTGTTTGTTTGTTTGTTTGTTTGTTTGTGGACAGAACCAGGGATTAAACTCAGGCCCTTGCGCTACTGAGCCATCTCCCCGGCCCCTAGCAGTTCTTATTTTAAAAGGCCAAAAAAAGCCTACCAATGGATTGTTCAACAAATTATCAAAGATTAAAAATAGGATTTGGTAAAGAGGCAGTATGATAGATATTTAACATTCCTCATTGAGAAAAATCATTCTGAAGGGTAATTTGGGAAGAGTCTAAGAAATTCTCACCACGTAAACCACTTACTCCATTGCCATAAACACATCTTAGAGAAGTCTAAGATAACATAGAGTCCAAATTTAAAATATAAGGATACTCATCCTGTTATAAAATTGTGCAAGGTTAGAAATGTCCAAAAGGACAAGTGGTTAAATTACAGTATTGTCACACAGTACCACTGAATATTAGCCATCCATTTTAAAAAGTCACATTTTCAATGTCATTGATAGGGATTTAAGATATTAGGCTACAAAAAAACAACTATATGGTTGTATACAACTATATGGTATAATATTGCTATTACACACACATATCCACATACATACATACATACATACATGTATTATTACATAAAGACAAAAATAATAAAAAATGCTAACAATGTTATTTCTTCGCAGCAACATTTTTGTTCTTTATACTTTTCAGTATTTTCCGAATATTCCATAATAGTCATGTAAAAACTTTTTATAAACAGAAAAGACTATTTTAAAAATTCAGTCTAGCTAATTCAGAAATTTTTAATCTGTGCTAGTAAGGAATATTTATATTACCCAAAAGTACATCGAAATAACGAGAAATAAACCATTAATGTCCAAGAGCATAATTTGCACCACACACACACACACACATACACACACACACACACACACACATGTGTACACGTAACTGTAAATCCAAATGGAAATACTATTTAACTACCTTCTTGAATATAGAAAGTTGATATAACATTTAATTAAAAATGCAAATCTTTAAATAAAATTGGTGCAAGGCATCTACAAACTGTGCTACTCTGGCTTAATACTGAAGATATAAATATTTCCCAACACAGTATAGATATTCATCCCAGTACTATGTTAAAATTGGTATAACAGAGAACATGCATAGTGGCTAAATAATTAACTGATTGATTTTTTTGTTTTTTGTTTTTTTGCCAAAGTGACCAGAATTGGGTGATGTTAGAGAAGGAAATAATACAACACTATACCATTATTTTAGTTGGAAGAGCCGCACCAAATAACATGAGAGAAAAACTGTAGGACTGGAAGAAAACCAGCAATATTTGTTGTTGTTGTTGTTGTTGTTGTTGTTGTTTTCACTAATGATTTCTTCCTAAAAATTCAAGTAGAGAAGTCAAATTGCTTAAAGCACCAAAAAAGCATAGCAGAATATGGTCTGCAATGACTTGAAAAACGCTGAGAATACTCTTCAACATTTCCTCACTTGCAGACTATCAAACATCTTTGATGCAAGTATCTATGTTCTTTTACTAATCTTGAATTTATATTCTATCAAAAGATAGTAATGACATGAAGGGATGTCACACAGAAAAGGTAAATGAATTGTAAAAGTTAAAATTAAAATTATTGTAATTTCTATAATTAAAAAATTCAGATAAATATGTAACTATAAAATACATCCTAATATATTTTTACATAAGAGCTGAGGCTTGTCATTTTTAACAAAAAGTCTGAGATGGAATTAATAAAAAACAATTTTCATATATACCACAGAGCAATAAGTTTAAATCAGACTATTTTGAGTTGTGTAGCCCTTTATTAGCAACTAAAATAGAAGGTATCTGTTGTACAACACGGGTAGTAATTGTCTATAATTTGAGATTTATTATATTCTAATACAGATCATTTATAAATGCAGTTTCTTTATTAAAAAGCTTCCACCCTTTTTTTGTTTGTGTACAATTTGCAAAACTATTCTGAAAGCGGAGTATATGTGCACAAGTCTGCAAAGAGTGCAAATTTAGGATACGGTAAATGCTTTACAAGTTACTTTCAAAAAACTGCCTGCCACAAGTGGGCCTTTACACTGTGTTTTTTTAATCAAAATATTTTTGATCCCAACCTTCCTTCCACCACCCAAAACTATAAAGCATTTTTTAATGAGTTGAAATTAAGGAGGACTACACCTACTAGAAAAGGAGAGAAGAAAGTTCTATTAGTTTGAGGTTTCAGAATCCCCCCAAACCAGAACCAGTATCTTGGTAAGGGCTAGGCTGGGACCCTGGACAGAGTATGAGTATGTGCAGGTGGCATCCCTGAGGATTCAGAGCTTCAGTGGACCGTGAGTGCTCCAGCTGCATAACTCACTGAGCTGTCTTGCCAGTTTCTACACTGGCTTGACTGGGCATAATTCAAAAAGGAAAAGCTCATATTCATTCCATTCTTCTGGAGCTCTGTGATAGCCTAGAAAAAGAAAAACCTGGTTATGACAGACAGCAGAGAAAAAAAGTGAGCACTGTGAACACACTGGCAGTTTGGCTTTGCCTACTTCACAACTAAGGCCAAGAACTCTTTCATTTTGTTTCTTGAAACTTTTTCTTACCTCATAATACACGGGGTAGAAAAGTAAACCCCTTACTTCATTCTGTGAAAGAACTCCTAATCTACTTTCTTATTATTTAAACAATCATTATGCCTACCACTCCATAAGATAAACTTTTTAAATTGCTAATAATTTCTCTCAATTTTCTCAACCAAATCATAGCCACTTCTCATAGTATGCTAGAATTTTTTCGACTGTGACTAAGTTTGAAATGTGTATCATTTGAGTTCCACATTTAAGAGGTATGCCAGGATTTTTACTAACTGTAAACTGGCTCATCATTTATTTTATAAAAATTCCATTTCATTCAATTCAGATTTTATGAAATTGTACCCATTTAACTTCTTTCAGAAATTTGTTTAAAACTTGAAAAGCTTTTCTTTCAGTCAATCCATTCTGTCTAAATCATAAAATCCTTCCTAAAAACTACGATATCCCCAGGGCCTGTCCTGCCAGTCCTGCTCCCAGGGCACACTGAAATGGCAATTAACTGGGCATGGTGGTGCATGCCTGTAATCCCAGCTCTTGGGAGGCTGTAAACAGGTAGATCACTACAAGTTCGAACTAGTAGTGAAACCCTGAACACACTGTAGACTCTTCCCTAAAAAAAAAAAAAAAAAAAAAAAAAAATCTATGATGTACTACCATTCAAATTAAATACTGAGAAAACTAGCCTTCATTATCCTACCCTAGCCTATTATGGACTCTATTATCTTTTCCATTTATTTCTCTGTCTTTCAAACTAAGTAAGCCCATTGTAACATCCTGAATATAAACTTTCATTCTTAAAGAGTATTTCATTTTCCTTAAGAAAATCTATAGTGTTTTACTTAAGGGAAAATTAATATTACTATCTTTCTAAAATCTAGTTAATCAAAACATCTGCCTATCATTTTTTAATGAAATATTATTATTTTTTTGGGGGGGTACCAGATGTCAAATTCATGTTTTCATGTTTGCCAAGCATGCACTGTACCATTGAGCTATATCCCCAACCCACGATTTTTATGTTAAAGAGAAAAATATGTCATCTGTCTTGTTAAATTATAAACATAAAAAGTTTAAGAGCAGGAGCATCCTGTTTATTTGTAGTCTAGAACATTAAAAACATAAATTCTTTAACAATTCAAAATCCTGAGGTAAAATATTTTTCAAACTTTTTATAGTAGACAATTAGTTTTAATAGGTACTAAACATACACATACACATACAGCTACACACACCCAAAAAAAAAAACCAACCACCATACACACAGGAAGTCTGTTAATTACAAAATATACCAGAGCCTTTCCTTTAATATAATGAAAATGGTAATTTGGCACAAGGGAAATTGGAGACAGTCTCACTATGCATGTAGTTCAGGGTGGTCTTTAACATTCTATGTAGCCCAGGTTGGCCTCCAACTCAGGACAATCCTCGTGCCTCAGCCTCTCAAGTGCTGCAATTACAGCTATGCACACCATACCCAGCAACAGTAATTTTTTGAGAGATAAAATATGCAATATTTTATACCTCCTTAACTCTAGGAGCTTTCAATAAGAACTCTTATTAATTTTCAGGAAACACATTGTTTGGATAAATGTGGCAAATGTCCACTGTTTTTCTTTTTAAATTTAATTTCCTGAGAAGTCACTTTGACTTACATTCGTAAGGACTATGCTAGAATTGAATGAGAATAAAGAGAAAATATGATTTTTTTATCCTAATTTTTTATATTTAACAAAAATTGCTATTCTGTATTCTACTGACAAAGTTACTAACATAACCAAAACAACAGAGATCCATAATTATATTAAAGAGGAAGAAAATTGACATTTTGGACATAAAACCAGTAACAATAATACATCACAATGATAAAATATGTTGAGACATGACAGGATCAAACATTAAAAGTCAAGGCTCTCCAAGAATACTTACATTTAATAACACCCCAATGGGATGTCTTCCACATATAGTATTATGGTATTTCTTCAAGTAATTGCTAAAGGACACAGGATCTAATTGTTCTATAATACTCATACCCTAAAAGAAAAATGATAGAATTTATTATTTCCTACTTACGTTTAAAATGTTCTTACAGTTCACAAAGAAAATACATTACTTGTGAAATACGAAACTCATGCACAAAATCTGATTATAGTCAAATTTCTATTGACAGAAAACTTTTAATTCTAGCTGATTTTCTTGAGAATCTCCAGATGTTTCTATTTCACTATCACTATCATTGAGCTTGTACTCCTCATATTTCCCAATTTTATATTCTTTTCAATAAGTAATATTTACAAAAGCAAACCTGCCATGAAATTTCACATAAATCGCTTCCTGTTACTGACAATGAAAAGCCAAAAGTTAACTATAATTTTAATTATTTCCATAATATATACTTAAATTATCAATATATTTAAAGTTATTAGCAGTATCCAATAGAAAGAAAATGACACAAACTAAAACTATCTTAATTTTGTCCTTTTTTTTTTTTTTTTTTGAGACAAGGTCACACTTTGTAGCCCAGGCAACTCTCAAACTCACAGTGATCCTTTGGCCTCAGCCTCCCCATTGCTGCGGTTATAGGGGTGCACCACCACACCTGGCTAACATATGTTGATTAATTAAAAATTCACAAAAAACTGATGAGGGTTTTAGTACCACATTTTTAGTATTTTATGAATCAGTTTTCTTGTTTATTCAAAAACACTCACTATGTCACTGAGGTAAGTAGCCTTGAACTCACTGATACAGCCTAGGCTGGCCTGGCACTCAACAGGGATCCCCCGTCTCAGCCTCCCAGGTTCTGGGGTTACAGGCGTGTGCCACCACATGCCAGTCATGAAGTACTTTTTAAACTAAAGCTTTTTATCTCTTTATCCTTTACACTAGAATACTTTATGAGATTTTAATTCAGAATTTTTAAAAAATAGCATAATTTGAACATCTGTCTACACTACAAGGTGACTGAAAAAAATACAGTGAATGTTTATATTTTTTTTAAAAAATAGAACAGTAAAAGACACACTACCAAGCACAATGGGCTAAATATGTTGTTCACAGTGAGGGAGAGCATTTTAAGAATACTAAGGGTGAAAATGGCAACATGTCTTTTTAACATCAACCACACTTTTTTAAACCTCATTTCGCTTATCATCTGCTTTATGCCAATTTCTGTCAGAAACATTCAAGTGTGTCCACATCCATCTCATTCACCAGATCTGGCCCTGTGTGACTTCTAGCTCTTCTCCAAAAGCAAAATGATCACGAAATGTAAACATTCTGAACTGAGTCAGGACATTAAGGCAGACATAACAATATAAACACACTCACATAAGAGGACTTCAAGAACCACTTCAGAGAGTGTCAAGAGTTTTCTGTGGATAAGTGTGTTCTAAGAAAGAGTCTTTTGAGGAGAATAATGGCAATGTGGCTTTTACTGCAGTAAGTTTCTTAAATTTAAACACCGTATTTTTATCACATCATGCACAGTCTATACTCTCCAAATACATTCAGATAACACATTTATAATTCACTACTATTCATTAATATAATTCAATATTATATATAAGTTAACTTCTGCTCACTCGGGCAAATAAATCACTGATTTCAACTGCCTTGTTTATTAATGACCCTAAATTATTTCTTTCATTCAGATCATAAAAATCTCTGTTCAATAAACTGGGTTAAGGTCCTCTGAGAGAAATGTAAACAGTGGTCTAACTTGGACTTAATTGGTACATTCTCCATGATTTTTAAATGTTATTGTACATTTTTAAACAAAATAAACACAGTATAATAAACAGAAAGTAATCAGGACAGCCATAAATAAAATGTCATCTGAAAAAATGACAAGTCAGTAGGTAACATTCAAATGTTATCTAGCTAGAGCTTCAAAATTCAATTTTACAAAGAAACCTTTATTGAGAATATTCATATCCCTCATAAACATCAATTTTCCCACAAAATACAACTGAATCATAACCATATGCATATAAAAGTTTTGTGTACATCAATTATCCTATTTCAGATATGTCTACTATCAATTTTTAATGCTGTTGGTTTTCCCAACATTAAGGAAAGTAACTTCCCAGCATGTTAGAAAAATACAACCAACTTATAGTCAAATCAAAGAGAAACAATGTAACTTCATTACAAAGAAAAGCACAAATAAAATTATGGGGAAAAAAAATAAAACCTTTTTAACTATAATATACCCCATAGAAATAAAAGCTCTTGGGGTCGGGAAGATGGCTCAGTGGAATAAGTGCTTCCCTGGCAAGTGCAAGGGCCTGAGTTCAATCCCTGGTTCTGAAAAAAAAAAAAAAAAAAAAAAGAAAAGAGAAAAAAGAAAAAAGAAAGAAGAAAAAGAAATAAAAGCTCTTTGAGTCTTAAAAAAAGAAAAGAAAAGAAAAGAAAAGAAAAGAAAAGAAAAGCACAGTGTACTTCTAAATCAAGAAGTAGTAATACAGAGATGGAATTTTTTTTTTTTTTTTGGGGGGGGGTTGCGGCAGAACCAGGGATTGAACTCAGGCCCTTGTGCTTTAGAGATGGAATTATAAATCTTCTATAAATATGGATAATGAAGATATAACTCCCCTAGAGACGAAAAATCAGGGCCCATAAAAAGATTCTAATCCTAGGATCTGCCTTACAGATGACTCTGACGCATTCCACTATAACAAGAGTCCTACTAACAATACTTTGAATGCTCATGTAGCTACAACTGGCATACAAACTTTAAGAAAACTTTCAGCTCTTGAGTGAAATCTCCGACAGCTTACCTTAAATAGAGATTCATTCTTTAATATATTATGTGACACTGATGTTCCAACATGTATTTTAATATTAAAATCTTAAATCACACGTGGAATAAACTTAACACATTTACATACAGATAGGAATTTAAAGATAAAGAAAACTAATGACTACACTGGTGAAGACATTTCTAGAATAGCAGTCAAGAAAGTTTTCTACAGAAATATAAAAAGTTATAAATGTAGAAAAGATACTACTAAAAAAAAGGTCAAAGTGAAATCAACTGGTTAACTTACAACAAAGAAAATTACAAAATCAAGATGACCGAAATTGAGGGATTAAATATGCTAAAATTTTAATTCTGGACATACTGTGGCCAAAAATCAATTCCATTATACTCCAATATCTGACAAATGTGATGACTCAACACATATGCCATATATAAAGGTGGGGTAATGGGAATACGAGTTTTTCTCACGGGTGATCCCCTCCAAATGGAAAATCATGAAGTATGCAAAAAAGAAAAAAAAAAAAAAAAGCAATGATGACAAAAGTGAAAAAAACAACATCTACTGACTAATACAGAGTACTGGCAAATACATTTTCATATACATTCATTTGATGCAACAACAAGAACAACAAAAAAGTTGCTTCTACCAAAATACCAAGAAGACAGAAAAGCTAGTTAAATGCTGTTATGAGACTTCTAAGATAAAAAACAAAGTCTATTCCCAAATATTCCCTTAAGTTGTATTCTTAAAAATACTGAATAGTATGATCAGGGAGTAAAAGACCCAGACATCTGAAAGCATCCTGGAGTAAACTTTGTTGGAACAAACTTTGCTAACTAAGTAAATGGCTGAAAACTTTCAATGTCAAGTCCCAAGGGTCAATCCAAATGTAGAGAAGAGGAAATATTCTAAATGAAAATAATAATAATAATAATAATAATAATAATAATGGAAAAATTATTTTAAATATAGTAGTACTAACAGGCAATGTACTAATAAATCACTATCTTACAGGTAATGGTTTAAAACCTATCAAAGATACTGGTTTAAGTTTAAGAGAATGAAGTATTATTTGGCAAATATGAACAACTTTCCTTTTAGAACAGATAGTAAGAAGAAAAACAACCTAGCTGACATTCAAATTAAATGAAAGTGAACTAATACATGTGGAAAGGAAACATTACCATGATTCTCCATATCAAATTGTAATTTGCTGTGCTCTGGAATAAAATATCACTGTGTACCAAAACAATGGCAGAATCAAAATAACACATGATCATATCTTAAATTATATATATGCTAATATTCCAAAGCATCTGAATTCACAAAATCAATAATCTAAAATACATTCTACTTTTATCACTGTAACTAGTGAAATTGCAAAATATTAATTAACAACAGCAAAAAGGTCCAGAGACAATATATGTTTTTTCTGAATCTTTATCTGTGTTATACTTGCTTATTTTTTCCCCAACTATACTTAGAAGATACTTTGTTTTCCTATAGCTATTTCTTTGTACTTTTTGACATAACCAATTACCAACATATACAAATGTTCCTAACAAACATTTTTCAATAACATTTTGTTTTTGTTTTTTTTTAAAGTTTATTTATTTATTGTGTGTGTGTGTGTGTGTGTGTGTGTGTGTGCGTGTGCGTGGCCAGCTCAGCCCACCAGGGGGCACGGCTGGCTGGCATGTGGTGCTGGGAGATCGAACCGCGGTCCCTGTGCCTTGCCAAGCCTGTTCCAAGTAGGTGCTTTAGACCACTGAGCCATCCCGCCAGCCCCCTTCAATAACATTTTGGCTCTTTAGCTTTTGGAACTTGGAAGGTTTTTTTCCCCTAGCATTTTAATAACTATGTTCAGGTTTTTGTGACACAAAAAGAACCAAAACTTACACTAATGCTGAATACATATTAGTGTAATATTTGTTGTTAACTTAAATCATCATGCTTCAAAATAATTTTCTTACTCTATTAAACTTTCAAAATACAGCTTGAATATCTTTTTTAAAAATGACTGGCATCAGAAGTACTTCTAATTTTGGAGTTTTTATGAGTCTGGAATATCTGTATATATGTGATGAACTATCTGAGGGATACAATCCAAATTAAACATGAAATTCATTTATGTTTCACATACACCTTATACATACATAGAGCATAAAGGTAATTTTATACAATGGTTTTAATTTTGACTATAATCCATCACATAAGCTCATGTATGGAACTCTTCACTTGTGCATGAAAAGTTTGGTCATGCTAGTG